CTCACCTCGGAGCTCCTGGCGCGAGGAGGGTAGGCCACCGCTCCCCCTTACCCCATAACCCGGTCTCATTAGGGAAACCCTGACCGCTATTTTCAACATTTCCTCAATCAAGTGCCCCGAAATAGAGCTGCACAAACAAATTGGCGGCAAAAGCGTACATCTTGTCACGATGGAGGCGAATCCAACATTTCAGTCTTGTTTGCTTTGCAATTACGGGCTTGGCTTGTGCCTCTGGTGCCACCGGGGCAAATTTGCTGCCGTCCTCTGACTCCTCTGCACCCCTAGCCGAGCGCTGGAGGGAAGCGACCCGGGGAACCATTGATGGGAGAGCCAGGGGTGGAGCGGACAGGGGTGACCCGGTCGCTAGGGCATGGCGGAGCTCTAGTCTAGACCCCTGGGCAAAGGGCGCACAGGTTTCCAGGTTTCTGACTGAGCTACCGAAGTAAAAGCAACAATAATAAAACGTAGAATCCACATATGGAAACCAGTGTTGTGTCTTCAGCCTCCTTTCTGTCCCCATCTCCTCTTCCCCTCTTTCCTAACACTTTCTACAGTATGGGTTAGTGGTTCTGGATTCCCCCCTGCTTCCTCGCTGTTAAACTGCTAGCATGATTTGTTGTATTTTCCATAGCTGTTCTTGTTTGACTTTTTGTACATAGCTATTTTAAATCTGCTGCAGGAATCAAACCCCAAGTTCTCAGGTCAGGCTTTTTATCCACACATGAGGTTGGAGGCATCTAGCTCACTTTTCTTTCTTTCTGGGGTAGTCTCCGAGTGCCTTCCCTGCAGTGCGGAGGGGGGGGGGTAGAACCGACCTAGTTTGTGTGAGCAGAACAGTAGTTAAGTCAGTTCCTAAGCCTTATATTTCACAGACAATTAAATCTTGGCTGCTGTTTAACGAAATTGTAATATTTACTCTGCTCTATACTGAGGCGCACTTTTGGAGTAAAAAAAATAGCAAATATTACGTTTCAAACAGAAAATACAATAATAAATCTCTTTTTTAATGGACTCTCCCTGCATAAGTGGAAACAACATGATTTAAGTCCCTCCACTCCCCTTCCCAAGCACGGCTGGACTGGAAAGGAACTATTGTGACCGCTCAGTTCCATCCCTGATGGGGAGACACCTGCATCAGAATGCAGTGTGAAATCTCTGATGTTCATCATGTGCAACAAGGATTATTATTGAGGGCTTGAATGTAGTCTTCTCTTTATATAGATTTGAGAAAGATGGGTGTGAATTGAGTAGCTCTGACTTCATATCACTTGGCCAACAATGGCTTTTTCCCCTTTATGTGGCTTTGGCAGTAGCGGAAGTTGAGAGTATCTGTATGAGGCTCTGGAGTCCATTGTGACACGAAGTCTACTGTTTAAGTATGCCTAAGATGCAGTCTGTTTTTGTTTGTTGGTCATAAACTAAACTCACAGTCACTATGGTCAATAAGCAATCTTTTTTCCCCCCACAATTGAAAGTTTTTTTTTTCTTTCCAGTTTACGATCCCAGCTAGATTATACCTATAGCATCCTCTCAGTCTCAACCAAAGCAAATCTCAAGACTGATGGCTTCATAGATTCTGCAGCCACAAAGTGGAAGAACGGTGTCCGATGTCCACAGTGTCACACGCTCCTGTTCATGTTTCCTGTATCAGCGTCCAGGCAACTGATCCCTTTAACAGCCTAAGGAATAGGAAGCAGTAGTTAGAAAGGGCACTATTTCATAAGAATTCTCTTTTCACCATAAGAATTGGTCTGGCATATTATTCCGTGTACAAATTATACTATTACTTTCATGTGTGTTAATCTGTTTGGTATTAAGATGGTGAGAGTGTCATAACCATTAACATGTTTTTACCATACCACTTTCAATTGGGTGATCTCAGATAATTATGAAGATGTTGAAGTTAATCCCACATTAAGTGAACAACTATGAAAATAACCGTAAGGCATTATTATTCTCATATAAATGCCAACAAACACGATTGTATGGGAACATGATTTTTTTTCTATTTGTTTGACATTATCCTATAAGGATATGGCTATATTCATTTCTTTTAAAATCAGGGCAGTTTTCAACAGAACTTTTAAAAAACTACATTCTTTTGCAATTCTCATAAACCACAGCAATTTGATACTGACAGATACTGTATTTTCTACATTATTATTCAGCAATCTTTTTGCAGACTAAAACAAAAATAATATTCAAAACTATCAACATGTAAGTGCAATTATTAGGGTCTACATATTTACTTAGGTAAGCCAAGCTATCAAAATTAAAAACATGTGCTTGGCACAAGAATGTTTCTTTGGAATTCCTTTTTGGATGTACAGTTATTATTTTAAAAACTAACTCAGATTTCTAAATACCAAGATTTCACCCTGAACAGGGATTGCATTGTTTTAAACAGTAGCTCCTGGAACAGTATCTTCCTTAGCATTTTAGACTTTGGAACAATTGGGATTGGGTAAATGCTTTCAGCTGGGAACACTTTCCTAATACTTGTGTAGGTAACAGGATTCTTTATTCCTGCTGAGTGACAAACAGACAGTACACTGGACAGACTGCTCACACTTTGCAGAACCTATTAGAAAATGGGATCCCCTGCCTCCCCAGTAAGAGACTGCTTGTGATCCATCTAAAAACAAAAATTCTGTTAAATGTGAAATCAGAGAAAATGAACAAGTGTTTCCCCAACTACAGTTTTGGAGTGATGGTTTAATGAAGTGCATAATGAGCAAGACAGGAAGGATGCAGAAAAGAAAGACATGAAAAAGAAAGTTGGCTTGGATTTTGAGATCTGCCTGTCTATAGACGGGAGACTGAGAAGCTAAATCCAAGAGTGTTGTTCTCTTCAATTCAGTGGATTTTAAAAATTGTTGTCCCCTGCCCACCCCCCCAATCCTAACCCTAACCCTGAAAAAAATCCAGTCAAGAAAATATATGCAAATTCTTGTATATATGTAAATGTTAGCTTACTGTGACTTTACATAATGTTTAAAATCCTTCTAACTCAATGCAGGGTACATTTGGTGTCATAAAATACTGATTTGAAAATATACATCGGTGAGAAGATTTCTATAAACTTCAAATTGCTGAGCAAAATGTGACAAAGCTTTCTTTGGAAGAAAGCAGGCAGTTTAATTGTTACTAATATGGCACAAATAAACGAGGAAGCTGTCTTCTTACATTCCTGGTAATTCTTTCTACTTTCCCAAACATTGTTAGGTCCTATGCATCTTGTGTTATTCAAGTAAAGATGATGTCAGTAATCAAATTACAGAATCTAATCAAGTAGGTATTTTTGCTTTATTACACAATTTATGCATCATCTTGGGCTATTGAATTGCTTAGTTGTTTTACTGTTGAATGTTTTCTCTTTTTAGACATAGTGATATTTAATATTAGTTCTAAAGACACTTGCTACTTGCAAAGATAAATGTGAGGGGTTATCAAAGCTAAAAATAGTCACAGTAACAAAGTAACATTTAAGTCTGTCTGGTGTTGATTGGACTTTGTAAATTATACTGCATTCAAAATCATAACTTTGGTATTCATAATGGCGGCATCTAAGGAGAGAAATTCGAGTCCTTAATTTGCACAGCTAAGAACATATAATCATGTTAGGGAACCTTCCCTCAGAAGCATTTTTCTACGGGCATTTTCATTTCTTTCCCTATACCATACTTCTACTTGCATTTTATTAGAAAGTTCCAGAATGAGGAGGACATGGATGCAGCAATTGTCTGGGCTTTTCTCTGCTTGAACATCTTAATATCATATGGCACTATTTTAGCTGTATTAATGATTGGCAAGTTTTCTCAACTCTTCTTTTTTTCTTCTCATCAATAACTCTGATACTTGGAAATAACTGGGCCACATACTGCCTCTTTCTCATTATGTTAGATGGTAGGGATTTAAATTGTAGAAGAAGTAATCCGTATGTATTTTGTCGTGTTGTTATTTTTGCTCCACTTAGTTTTGAAAGAGACTTATTTGTTTCAAGAATTGACAAGATGATTTTTTCAAAATCTGTTTATGAAAATAGTTCGTGAAAATATGATTGTAATTGACCTTTGATATTTAGGTCAAGGTCAGTGATGTACTCTGACAATTATTTTGATCACAGGGAGAAACAAAATCAAAATTGTGCTGCAACCTGTCTTAAAAAATTTTTCATTTTGTGGTTAAAAGGCAAATCTCAGTGATTCCTGGTGAGGCTGTTGCTATGTATGACAAGCAGCAGCGCACTGTGATTAAGAACAGGGTCCAGGGAACATGTTAGCATGGATAGTTTGAGAACAGCCATTAACTGTATAATCTCAGAAAAGCCAGCTAGCCATTCTCTGCCTCAGTGATTACACGTGTAAAAGATGGATAAGAACTGCAGGCCAGGTAAGGAACATCAGCGAGAATATTCACATGTAGTTCTTAGAGGGTCAGTACTCAATAAACATCAGCCATTTTTCTTTGGCACGGCTCTACAGTGAGTGTCATGCCGCGGCTACTTTCCCGATAGCCACAGAGAAGGGGGATGCTGATAGTCCACAGGCCTCACAAACTCTCTGTGAGGATCTGCCTTGGTTTCCAGCCCCTAAGCTGGCAGGATGAAGGAAAGTGTCTGGTGTCTTCAGTGGTTCAAGGAGGACTTGGGAACTGGGTGTAGCGGAGCATGCTTACAATCCCAGCAACTCATAAAGCTGAGGCAAGAGGAGTGACATGAGTTCAAGGCCAGCCTGTGGGACTGTATGACCCAATCTCAAACAAAAAGACGGGAAAAAGATACGGGAGAGATGGGCCTGTGATGTCTGCCTTTGTGTTAGCTTCAGCAGTGTAACTGTGCTCCATTGTGCCTAACACAAAGGTCTAACTGGGGACAATGACACACATTAGGGAAATAAAATACCCCAGGGAGTGGCTCTTTTTATTTATTACAAACCTCTGCAATAATAAATTTTATGCATATTTACTTGAAGAAATAATTATTTGATCTCTTTTTACAGATATTTAATATGCACAATAAACCCATGAAGAAACGAGCAGGACTAAGATAAAGAAGATCAGGTAACAGACTTAAGTATTTTAGGGCACATTTTAGTCTTGTCTGTCTAAAAACACATGGTAGGATTAACATGATGAATTTCTGCCTTGTTTTGGGCATGGCTTAAACTCTTAACTGGGGGGGGGCACAGAGTTCCTTCTGCCGTCCTTTGTAGATAGTTTCTGCCCACATCCTTTACATGGTATTGCATGGAAGGATCTTTGAAGGAATCCTTTTAAGCACTTTATCAATGATGAAGGTTTGGATTATATAATCTTCTTCTACATAGTGGAGGCAGACAGACGGCAGCACACCACACTCTCTGCACTTAAGAAGCCACTGGAAACTCATCACAGGGTCATCTCTTTCCAGCTGAGACCTTACATGCCCAGAGCATTGGCTGACACAGGACCAACAGAGGATGCTAGTGCCAATGGTTATACTTACTGCTCGTGTGTAATTTCTGAATTTTGATAGTAAAGCAAATACAAGAGGCATTTATAATACAGTTCTGGTATTTCATGCTTTGGGAACCATTGTGCTAGACTCAGAAGCCATTGCGTTTCCTGCCATTTCACTAACTTGAAGTTCTCTGGCAAAATAAACTAGAAATTTGGGTACCTTGGATATACTTTCTGTATCTTGTCTTTTTCTATTTCCACATGGTGGTATCACCCTTTTCTGTTTACAAATTATTCACATAATTTCTCATTTGAACTCTACATCTTTCAATCTCAGGTCTGGTTCTATTTATTCTAAAGACAGAGTTGGAGATGAGCCATCATTGGTGTTGACTGAGTTGCCAAGCAGTCACCTGAGTCAGTACCGTTGGTAAGCAGAAGATCTAGGTTAAAATTTTTGAAAATAATCTCATGCTGTTTTGCTTTGTTAACCATTTTTAAGGCAGCAGCTAAACTGAAGGGAGAAAGAGCAATAAAATTGTAATAAAGTTTTACATCCTAGAGATGTTCAAATATATATGAGTGTCAAGTCAATGATGCAGTCCTTGTTGAGCATGATTGAGACTCTGGGGTTCAGGCCCTAGAACAAAGCCAAAGCAACACACAATTAAGCAGTGTAAAGGAAGGGAATTCATACTCATTGACCACATTTTATATCTTACATTCTTTACATGTAGTATCCTTTTACTATAGTTCTTGACATAGAGGTTCAGATTTGTTCAGTAATTTGCCCAAATACATTTTTATTAGCTTCTGGAGTTTAACATGAAGAGACCTGATGCTAAAATGCATGTCTAAGTACTATTAACATAACACCACAAACTGAATATTAAACTCTTCTTGCACGCTTTTGCCCCAAATTTGTTCCCTGGATTTGGCTAAAAATTAACCACAACAAAATAGAATACCAGCAAATATGAAGAGAATCTGATTGCTAATACAATGCAAGTGGGGTTTTAAGCGATGATCTCCTCTTGGAGATAGTTTAGTTTGGTGGTTTCTAAAGAACTAAACACGCACTACCATAGAACTTGCATTGTGCTTCTTAGCATTTATGCCAGATAAACAAATACTTAAATTCACACAGAATGTTTATAACAGCTTTATTCTCAATAGCTAACAACTGGAAATGACCCAGATATCCTTCAATGGGTAAATAAACTATTAGCCATTTTACTAACATTTAAGTAACCGCTATCAGTCATGATGGAGCCATACCATGAAATACTACTCAACAATCAGAGGCGGCAGAATCATTGAAATGTGCAAAACCAGAATGAATCTTTATGGAATTAGACTGGGTAAGAAAAATGCCAACCCCTAAAAGTTCCACGTAATGCTCTCACATTCTTCTGCCTTTTCATTCGAGTGTGGTGTGAATGTATAAGTTAATGCATGTTTTGTATGTAGGTTGTTGTACACTTGTACATGGAAGTCCAAGGCTGATATCAGGAATCATCCCTGCTTGTTCTTCTACTGTTTTCTTTGTGTCAGGGACTCTCAGTCAAACTCAGAGCTCTCGGATGTGGCTAGTCTTGCTAGACAGTTTGGTTAAGGGATCATTTCAGGAGGCTTGGGGGACCTGACTCCAGTCATACTTGTGAGTCGAACTCTGTAACCACAGAGCCACCCCCCTGCACATATTTATGTAGTAATACCGAAATAACAAAATCAGAGAAATGGATGAAAGATTAAAGGTTGCAAAGAGTCAAAGAGCAGTGTGGTGAATGGGAAGAGGGTGTGGCTGCAAAAGGAACTTTTTGTTAAAGGAGTCTAGTCACAAACCAAACAGTTTGTACTCAACTGCATAACGCCAATATCCTAGTTTGATGACACATGAGACAGCACCGTAGAAACTAAGTGAAGGGGAAAGGATCTCTATTATTATTATATTTTTTAAACACTGCACAAGAACTTAAAGTTACCACAAAAAGCCTAATACAAGGTCAGTGGACATTCTAGGAGGCCAATTCCATACTTTCTAGAACTGAGCTCAAACTAGGAGAAAGATGGAATTGTAAGTCTTAAAATTCAAGAAACTTAGATCATTCATTAAACTCGTCTGATTTTATTTTTCTCTGACTTTATTATGGACTATAGTACTACTAAGAGAAAGAGAAGATGCTACCTCCTGTCACAGGACTTCTGTTTTGCCTAGAACTTTAAAATCAATTAGCTGATCAAACTATATGTTAGAAGACGAAACCAGATTGCATTAGGCCCTACTGTCATAATTTTTTGCTTATATTTTTGATTGTGAGCCTCACCCTTAATGGCTGAGCTGTCCCTGCAGCCCTATAATCTATTTCTAAAGGATTTTTTTTGTTATTCTTGTCTTCTTCTAACTTACTAAGTTTCTTTTATTCTATTTTGGATCTGTGTTTCCAAGTTGTATTGATTTGGTGGGAGTCAGTGCTCGCTGTCAAACTTAATAAGCCCGGGAATCCACATGAAACGAAGGGAACCGACTCCAGAAAGCTGTCCTCAGAGCTTCATATACTCGCTGTGGCACATGTTGCAGGCACCCCATACAGCCGTGCATTAAAAGTGTTTTGAAAATAATCCAGTAAGTGTTTTCTGCTTCTTCTTGTTTTTGAAACAGTGTCTCACACACTATGTGTCACACTCAGGCTGGCCAGGAACTTGCCATCCTCCTGCCTTAGCCTCCTGATGCTGGTATCACAGACATGGCCCTTGGTGAGCTACAACAAGTGTTCTCATTGCTGGTTAAATTAGAAAATGATAGCATCGTTCAAATGGGAAGTACAAGCGTGTATTGAGTTGCAAATAATCCGCGGTGCAATGTGCTTGCCTGTTCTGATTTTCAGAAAGGAGCAGCGGGAAGCATTATCGAAGACTTCATTGGTATTGTGTGGAGAGAGAGGATACAACACAACAGGAGGGCAAAAAGTGTAGGCTCCTCTCCCCGACTACTGGGGGCACCACAGAGCCCTCTGCAGCCACCTGCCTACCACTGCAGGAAAGAGTCAGTCCCTGCAGGGAGCTGCCGGCTTAACGAGTAGGGGTTAAAGTGTGAGAATTTCAGAACCTACTTTGGGGAAGGATGAAATAAATCAGAGGGCCTGCTGACAGTAACAGCATCTTTGAGAAGCTGATTTGAAACAGAATCAGGGAACTGAGATGAATCCCAGGTGGCCACTGGGAGCTGCAAAAAGTCCCGATGACTTGGGTGACTGTTCGTCGGGCTTCATTTTAGTGCTATGAATAATCTTTAAGTGACAGTTTATTAGAAAAGGTTATAGTCAACACAATGGTAGAATAAAGATATATCAATTTAGAGGGCTTTTTCTTTCTGTTTCCTTTTTTGCTTTTGAGACAGCATCTTTCTACAGAGCTTCGGCCGCCAGAAACTCACCATGTAGACCAGGCTGGCCTTGAATTCACAGAGACGTGCCTGCCACTGCTTTCTGAATCCTGGGATTTAACACATGTGCCACAACCATGCCAGGACAATTCAGAGAGTGTTTCATTTAAATAATTTCCCTAATAGGATGTTCAGAATGTTCTAGAACTGCTTCAGTTCAATTAATGCATACTATGTCCTATCTTATTTTCTCATGGTTCTTTCTCGTCATTAGTTTCTTTTTTGGTCTGGGCACCAAATCTAAGCCGTCTTGCATTCTAGGCAATGCCCCACCTCTGAGTTTACATTCCTAACCCTTTTGCTGGCCTTGAACTCACTATGTAGCAGCTAAGAATGACTGAGTTCCTGATCTTCCTTCCTCTACTATCTTAGTGCCGGAATACAGCCTTCAGCCACTACATTCCTTTTTATATATTGCTGATTGATACAAAGACTTCATGCATGTGTAAGCAAGGGCTCTACCATCTGAGCTACTTCTTAGCTTCTCCATTAGCTGTTATCTTCATCTTGAGAGAAATTCTGTTTGTGTTTTTTTTTTTTTTGAAAATGGAATCTTCTCTCACACAATACATCCCAACCATAGTATCTCCTTCTCCCATGCCTCCAAGCCTCCCCCCACCTCCCCTCTCTCCCAGATCACCCCCTTCTGTTTCCTCTTCAGAAAAGAGCAGTTCTCCATGAGACTCATTTCTTTCTATTGGGTTGCCTTGTCTGTAAACTCTTCAAGTGAAAAATATTATTTCAGCAGTTCATCCAAGCTCCTGTTCTCCCCAAACAGCAAACAACAGATTTTATTCAGTGTTGCATCTGTGAATATGGAAATGAGGCATTTTCACTCAAATAGTGGGCAGTGGAGTGAGGGATGATTGGAAAGGAGGTTAGTGATACGGAGTATATAGAAACCATTTCAACACGTAAAGGTAACTCCAGGCGCTTACCAAGAAGAGGTATGGAGAGCAGGGCCTTTGAACTCCATCAGTGCTAGGGACAAAACATTGCTGCTTCCATGACCATGGAGGAGAATTTAGCATGACTTTTTACCTCACTCCACAGTTTCTCCAGACAAACAAACAAACAAAAGACAAAGGGGCAAAGTCCTCAAAAGACTGAAACCAGCCACGATCCTGAAATTAATAATACAACTAAAACATTAGCACAAAACCAAACAAACACTGGAGCAATTTTACGAGATCAAGTTGGAGTTAGGCAAAGAAGAGGGACAGGGTAATCATCAAAGTCAAGACAAGCTCAAAGGAGTTTAATAGCTGCTATCATATTGCACCTGAGTCTTAAGCACTTGAGATGCAGCTGTTTTGTTTTAAGATGCTCCTGTTCCTGGTCCAGTCAGCCGTCCACGGTGACCCGGGTACACGTGTCCAGGCATGTGGGCACGGCTACATCATGTAGATCCCTTAGGGAGTGATGGGAAGAGCAGGCAAAGTGGAAATGCTGAGCTCCAAAGTAACGAAGCTGAGGTCAATAGCAGTGAGCAACCAGCAATATTAGGAGTCTTCTTGTAGCTACGGAAACCACACTAACAGCATTTGGTACACATTGTGCATGTAAGGAAGTTGGCTTTTCTGTTTATTCGTGATGAACTCCGAGTAGTGGCTTAGATGTGACGTTTTGATTTTTGAAATGTTTTTATTTATTCTTTGAGACTTTCATGCGATACATTTTGATTATACTCATTCCCCTCCCCCACCTCTCTGGCCCATCTATTTTTTCTTTTTTCGAGACAGGGTTTCTCTGTGGCTTTGGAGGCTGTCCTGGAATTCGCTCTGTAGACCAGGCTGGCCTCGAACTCACAGAGATCCGCCTGCCTCTGCCTCCCAAGTGCTGGGATTAAAGGCGTGCGCCACCACCGCCCGGCTTGGCCCATCTATTTTTAAAAATATGTAAGGTCAAGAGTAGGTTTAATGCCCCATGGCCTGAGCAGGCGGGCACCACTGCGTGATGAGCTGTTACGTGGAGGAGAAATGGGAGAGAAGGGGAAGCAGAGTATGACTAAACCGTGACAGCGGCTAGAAACAGGCTGATGCGAGTGGCCACACTGCCACCTGGGGCCGTGTGATGTCCCCCGAGGGCCACGTCTGGGTCTATGGCCCTACCCCGCCTGAGGTCTGTGTTGATATTCACCGCCTGTTACCATCGAGGACCATACAGATGCCTGTGGTCTAGACTTCCATCTGAGACTGACTGAGTCCATATCTGGGTTTATAGCCCTCCTACAGTTGGGGGCCTGTGTTACCACCAGGGGCCATGGGAGAGCTGACCCCAGTGGTCTGGGCTCTGGGTAATGGATCCCAGCAACGGGAGAGCAGGCCCCACTCCTCACCGTGTGCTTAGAAGAGCCAGCCCTGAAGATGTCTGAAAGCTGGTCCTGGCCCTCTTCTGAAGGGGGTGGTTTTGGTGGGCAACTCAGCTATCACCCAGGCCCATATTCAGGGCTGCGAAGGAGTTGGCCCACCCCAACATCTACCCTATCTGTTGGACCAGATCTGCACGACTGAGAGCAACAGCAGGATATCCGAGAGGAGTCTCACTGAGGGCCCAGTATTGATGGTGTACCGGAAGCCAGAGGCCTTGAACCAGGCCAAAAATAAACATTTGCAAGTAAAGTTGTTTGGGAAAAGGGTGGACTGTGTGATGTACAGCAGCTCCCGTGGCCGCTACAACAAATGAATATGTGATAAAAAAGGTGGGAAAGATGGAGAAGGAAAGCTTTCAAAAATACATTTATTTATATATTTATTTATTTTCTTTGTGCGGAGGCTGCAATGGTGGAGGGTAGACGTGGAAGACTGGGAAATGAGCGAGATCGGGGTGCATGCTGTGAAATTACCAAAGGATCAATACAAAAATTATTTTAAAAAAAAGAAATAATAGCTTTCACTTTATAGTCCAGGCTGGTTTGGAACTCACTGACACTGGGAATCCTCCTGGTTCAGCCTTCTGAGTGCTAGCAGTAAGTGTGAATACGTATGAGTCACCACACGTGGCCTTGGGGAACATATTTTATTGTTTGGTGAGTTTTACGTTTTCTTTCACAAAAGAATGATTTATTGGAGCTGGGCAGTGGCGGTAGACACCTTTAATCCCTGGATTTGGGAGGCAGAGGCCAGCCAGGTCTACAGAATGAGCTTTCCCGCACTGCCTTGGAGGCAGAGGCCAGCCGGGTCTACAGAATGAGCTCTCCCCCACTGCCTTGGCTAGTTCTCTCCTTGCAGCCATGAGCAAGGGGTGGGGTCTGCTCTCCAGTTTTCTCATCCTCAGGGGCGGCCACCTTCGGGGCCAGTTCTACTATGTTGCCCAGTTGAGGTGTTCGGGGACACTCTTCGAGTGCTGCAGCTTATGAGGGACAGCCATCCTGCTCTTATGACCTCGGCCACCTCTCCCACCTGGGAGGGAGGACATCTCTCCCCCACCCATGCCCCACATGACAGATGAGTAACGGGTACATTTCTTGCTTGCTCCCAACTTTGAGGCTGGCTCACCCGCACCTCTGCCAACAAGGTTGTCTCCATTGTGCTTGCTCCCCAGGTGAGGCGCAGCGCCTGTTCTACCGAGTTGCAGCTGGTGGGGGACAAGGGCAGCTTTCCCTCTCTTATGACCTCAGGGCGAGTTCTCCCACCTGCATCAGGAATCGATGTGTGTGGGGGGATCTTTTCCTTGCTCACACCACTATATGGCAGATGGGGGACAATCCAGGTCTCTCACTCTCACTCTCTCGGGCTGGCTCACCTGCACCCTTGTCAACAGGGTCAGCTCTGCTGCGCTGCCTAGACAGGGTGCCGGGCCTGCTTTCCCCAGTGTTACAGCAGGTAGAGGGGTCAGCTCCTTTGTCAGCTGGAGGCCGCAGGGGAAGGGAGAAGAGCATCTTTCCCTCACCCCCCCCCCCACCACACTGCAGAGGAGGGAAGCAGTACCAGGCATGCCCCGCTCAGTCCCTCAGGGCTGGCTCAACCAAGTCCCTGTCTACAGGGTCAGCTCTACTGTGCTGCTCCGGGGGAGGCATGGGGCCAATTCTCCCAAATGCTGCAGCTGGTGAGCGGTGGGACAGGTCTCTCACCTGCTTCAGTGGAGAAGGGCATCTTTCCCTCACCCATGCCAGACGAGTGGGGCTCAACCTCCTCTCCCACTCGCACGCTCCCGGGACCAGCTCACCCCT